CAAAGAGAACCAAAAGTTTATTAAAAGCATATTACCTCAAACTTTTGAAGAGCAAATTAAAGAATTAAGATGACAAGTTTCTTTAAATAAGCAATAAAAGAAACTTATAAAAGTAACAACAGATGGAATATAGACAGAAATAGTATCTACAACTATATTGACACAATCAAATATCCTTCAGATATTCTTAAAATATCAAGAATCAGAAGATACTTCAAAATATGAAGTATTGAAAATGGCAATGCATGATAAAAAAGCAGATGGAGAAATAATAGAAGAAAATAGAAACATAGAATTAAAAATGGTACTACATACGACACTTGAACTATACATTAATAATCAACTGTATAGAGAAAATAAAGTAAACTGAAAAATAAAAAGAATCATAGAAAAATGTGCATATGCAGAGGAAATAAATATAAGATAGGCAGTCCTATACTTAGGAACAAATAACAAACGACAATAATCAGATGTGATTAATAATATCAATTATATACTAGAAAAGATACAACCAATGAAGATAGAAATCTTATTAGAAAACAGTATATCTAACAACTGTTTTGGTGCAACAGTTACTGACTTCATGAATATATTGGATAGTATAAAACAAAAGTTAAGATTTAAGGACAAGAAAAAAAAAAGAAAGCAAATAGGAATTTGCTTTGATACTCAGCATTTTTATGCTGCAGAATGTAAAAAAATGGTATATGAATTTAGAAACGTACTATATATATATAGACAAGAAATAATATTAATACATATTAACAACAGTTCACCAGAATGTATATTTGAAAAAAAAATAGACAGATATACACACTTAATAGATCCAACTAGCATCATATCACAAGAAGTCTATCAAATGATAGCTTAGTACAAAGAGGTCTGTGCAATGATACTAGAAACACCAAGTATAGAACAACAAGATCAATTAGCACAAGTACAGGAAGTACAAAAACTCAGAAAATCTGCAAATGATCTATTGGAAGTAGATTGAAGAATAAAACAATAGTCTAATGCAATTGACCAACAAGAAAATTCAAGAAATATAATATCTACTATGGGAACAGATATAGAATTTAGAATAATCTATGAAGAACCTAAAATAGTAGATTTAGCAGAACAGTTAGCAGAAATAACACTAGGACCAGCAAATGAAGAGCCACAGGAACAAGATCAAAAATAGCTTAATAATAAGATGTTAGAAGAAACAATTCAAACTATAAATCAGTTTGAAGAAGAAGTATTCTCACAAGCAGAATCAAGTAGTAAAAAAGGAAAACAAGTAAAAATACTAAGTAGATCACCAAGTAGATCTCTAACAATACGACCAAGAACTATAATAAGACAAAAGCTAACAAACTGGGAACAAATACTAAAAAGTAGAGATGATATTAAAGATCCAAAGATAGAAGAAAAATTTGAGCAATTACAAACAAAATTGCATCAAATTCAATACTATTATAACTATACTTCAGCACTAGATGATGATTAATTAGAAGAAATATTAAAAATAAAAGAAAAAATAACAGGTGTAACTCATAGAAAAGCTCATGAATCACGAAGAGAATATATATTTGATTTTCTAAATGAAATATCAAATAAAAATGATGCATCTATATTTGCATTAAGAGGAGCTATTAACAATATGCTTGAAGAATATGAAAGAGATACTAATCCAGCAATTACTATTACAGGTGATCAATTCAAAGCAATGCCAGAATGGAACCAAAGAGAAGTATTAAATGAATTATTATTAGAAGCAAATAATGCACAAAATGAAGAAGCCAGAAGAGCAATACAAGATAAATACAGAAACTTGCTTGCAATACAATTAAAAACAAAGGGTCAAATAATAATTGATGAAAATATTGAAACACAATTATCAAAAAACTAGTCACAAATATGAACTAAACCACCACCTCCAAGATTAGAATTACCCAAAACAGGATATAGAAAAGAATATCAATATCCTGGATTTCCAAGATCACTACCAAAATTACCAACAGATTCTGATAAATCATCAACTAATCAAACAATTAATAGTAGTGCTTTTGAAAGAAAAAGATGGATACTATCAATAACTAAAAGATTAAGATCTTTATCTCCCACAGAAGGATGAAAACAAATGTTTGGAAGATCAGAATCCTCAAAACAACATATTTATAGCCCTAAAAAACTATCAAGCTTAAGAAACTCTGTAGACCTTACAAATACTCCTGATATAGTATTACCAACACCAACGCCAATACCAATTCAAAATAATTAACAAACAAGAAATTTGAAGTGACCTATAGATAGAAGTAATACTTTATCACCTGCATCATGGCATAAAAATCAAAAAATGTATACACTATGAGTAACAAATACTAAAGATGAAAAACAAGAAATATCTCAAAATATTGAAAGAGCATTCAATCAAAACAATTCAAAACCTCAACAAATACAATCTACCTTTAAAGGATAACCTTATACAACATACTTATTACTAGCATGAAATCAACTACTTGAAACCTATACTGAAGATCAACTACAAGCTTTAGTAAATACAGGAATAAGTGCACCATGAGATGAAAGTGATAATGAGAGCTTAACTATAAAATAACAAGAATTTCTAGAAGAAATAGATGAAGAAATACAAGAATATATAAAAAATAATAATCTTCATATAAGATTAAACTATATACACTCTATCAAAAGAAAGAAAATAATATCTACTGTATTATTAAATATAAAAAGGGATGACCAAATATATAGTGCACAGAATATTATATTATCAAAACATATAATATTATCAGTAAAAATAAGAAAACCTATAAAAAATGAATATATAGGAACCCCAGAATATTTAGCTAAAAAAGAAATAGCTATTCAACCAGAGATAGCAAATAGAAACTATATATTAATAGCAAACTACTCAAAATACGAAGTCCAAATAAGTAAAAATCAATATATTGGAAATGTTGAAATATTAGAAAAGACACCAAAATTTTTTCTTAATGAAATTGAGATTCTGAAAAAGAAAGAAATAGATTGGACAAATAAAAGAGAAGCTATTAAAGAAAGAATTGAAATCTTAAAGAAAAACTGTGGACCAGATATATGAAAACAATTGGATGATATATTAGAAAAATATATCGACTGCTTTAGAGAAAAACCTGAACCAAGGACTAGTGTAAAACCTGAAGTAATCCTGAAAATAGAATTAAAATTAAAAACTCCTGAACCTGAAATACTCGAAAGAGATAAAAGACAACAAGTTAGAAAATACTCTGAAAAAGAACTGAAAGTTATAAAAAACCTATTGGATAACTTAGTAAAAAACAAAATTGTATACTCAGCACAATCTGAATGGGGTGTAAATGTCTTAGTCATAACCAAGAAAGATGGCACGAAAAAAATAGCCATAGACTATAGAGGCTTAAATAAGTATTTAAGGCAATTTAAGCAACCTCTACCTGATATACATTAAATGCTGCAGAAAATAGCTATACACAAAATATATACAACAATAGATTTAAAATCTGCATATTGACAACTCCTTATACACGAGAATAGCAGAAAATATACTGCTAGTATATTTGGAAAATATGGAACTTATGAGTGGAATAATTTACCCTTTGGAATTAGTACTGCACCTGCATACTTAATAGCAGCAGTAAATAAATTACTATCTAAATTTGATTGGATTCTACTATATATGGATGATTTGACTATTGTTGCAAACTCTGTTAAAGAAATGAGAGATAGATTAACAAGGACATTAATAGAGCTTGAAAAAGAGAGCCTAAAACTTAAACCCTCTAAATGCGAGTTCTGCATCAGCAAAACAACAATACTCCATCATGAAGTAGAATATAACAAAATATGAAAAAATGCTTTAAAAAGCAAGGAAGTAAACAAATTCAAGACTCCAACTTCTGAAAAAGAAGTACAACAATTCTTAGGATTCATAAACTACTTCAGACTATATATTTATGACTTTGGGAAAATTGCAGATCTACTTTATAAACTAACAGAAAACAAAGAGTTCCAATAGGGTAATGAATATACAAAAGCATTTGAGCAACTTAAAGAAGAAATAAAAAGAGAATTAGCCTTATTATTTCCAGATCCAAAACAACCATTTTTCATGGAATGTGATGCTTCACAAGAAGCTATAGCCACAATCTTATACCAAGAAGATTTTGAACAACAGTATTATAAAAAAGTATCTAAACAAGAGATGCTTAAGATGAACTTAAAGACTATTCTAAACCAATCAAATCAGGAAGACACATAATAGAAATAGGCTCAGTAGGATTAAATGAATCACAATGCTGTTGGCCTAGCATACAAAGAGAACTATATACGATATATGTATTTCTGGAAAAATAGAGACACTATATTAGAACACAACAAATACACATTTATACTGACTCGACAGGAATATTATCAACAAAATCAATAAAAAGCTATACAAATCGTACAATGATGAATTGGATTTTACAACTGCAAGAATATAACTATATAATATATAGGATAGTAAATACAGAAAACTATGCTGCAGACTACTTATTATGAGGAATAACCGATAAATTACAGCAATTAGAAAAAGAAAAAGAAATATTAAAAGAAGTAAAAAAGAAAGAGAAAGCTAAGCTTCAAAAACAATTAACAAGAATTGAGAAAGTGAATAAAGAAAATGACTCTTTAAACGATCTAGCTAAAATAATTAAAGAAAAATAGAAACAAGAAATCAAGAAGAAACAAAAATGATTATCCTAATAATTACTACAATTACCAATCACTATTAATATCAGTACAAACAGAGTTACCACAAAAACTACAAGATGATAAAAAACTATCACTACAGCAACAACTACTAGGAGAAATACTACAATGATAACATAAATAAACTGCAAACACTAATCAAAACTATCTTCCAAATATTCACAAGAATCAAACTCCAAAGACTTGGAATCAGAATACTCAAATTTAACCAAATTAGCTCTATGGTCTAGAAAGGAAGCTAAAAAGGAATTAGTAAAATTCGACCAATATGCACCACTGACCAGAGCTGTGAGTTAGACACAGTTAGTCTACTAACTACTCCAGTACTGCAGTGCGTGATAATTCAATAAGACTAATCTTTACCTTTAGTGAATTCCATTTGAAAATCTGATTTACTAAAATCATTATTTGAAAGAGCCGAAGACTTATTGTAAAAATCGTAGCAAAAATTATCATTATTGACGAATCCATGTGAAGAGCCATCAAAGTATCTGGACGAAAATAGTAAATTCTCTGAAACTACTAGATGATGATTAATTAGAAGAAATATTAAAAATAAAAGAAAAAATAACAGGTGTAACTCATAGAAAAGCTCATG